GGATGTGTGTCCTTCCCCAGCCCCACAGCTGGAGAGGGATGTGTGTCCTTCCTCACCTCCACAGCTGGAGAGGGATGTGTGTCCTTCCTCACTTCCACAGCTGGAGGGGGGATGTGTGTCCTTCTCCACCTCCACAGCTGGAGAGGGATGTGTGTCCTTCCTCACCTCCACAGCTGGAGAGGGATGTGTGTCCTTCTCCACCTCCACAGCTGGAGGGGGATGTGTGTTCTTCCTCACCTCCACAGCTGGACAGGGATGTGTGTCCTTCCTCACCTCCACAGCCAATGCTGCTGCTCCACCTAGCATGGGGAGCAGGGTGCAGCTGTGGGAGGAACCCAGGCACCTGGCACTGCCCAGGGCATGGATTAAAAGGAGGGATTCCTAATTGTATGGAGATATTCAGCATTCCCTCATGGTGCCTTGAAAGCTGTGGCTCAGCTGGAGCTGTGATGTGAAGGGGATGTTGAGGCAGCAAGAGGAGATTCCACTTTCTGAGGTGTCCTTACAAAGCTGCTCTCAGCATCCTTGCAAGGCCATGGTGATCAGGGAAGGTCCTTGGTGACTGGAGAACCCAGGGGTCCCACCCAGCCTCCGTCATAGCCAAAAGGCCATCCCAGAGAGCAACAGGGCAGCCACCCTCGTGTTGGGAAAGCCATGGAATGAATGTTCTTTGTTTGGAGCACAGCTCTGGAAAAAGAGAGTGGCTGGAAGAAGTCAGGAGGGACTGCTGAGGCTAAGTGATGCCTGCACAACCTGCTTTCCTCTCAGGATGAAATGGATGGGTCTGTAGGCAAGGGGAGAGTGGTGGATCCCCTGTGCCTCAGCAAGGCTTTGGACACAATGTCCCACAACGTTCTCCATGCAAGTGGAGATGCCAAGGTCTGGGTGGGTGGGCAGCCAGGCAGGTCAGGATCAGTGGGAGTGAAGTGCAAAGGGCTGTGGCCATGGGATGTGCTCTGCCAGGAGGCTGCTGAGGGGACTGTTTTGGGATCTGTGCCATTTCATGTCTTCATGCATGATCTAAAGCTGGCTGTGAAGTGCCTTCCTGTCACGTTCCCAAACTGGGAAGAGCAGTCTGGCTCCCTGCTGAAGGTCTGGGCTGGGCTGGAGGGATGGGGAGCAGGAACCTCACAATCCAGGCACTCCTTTGGCCTCATGTAACCCTCACTGGGGCTCGACACAGAACATGTCCTGGTCAGGATGAAGCTGGGGGCAGGCTGGATGTGGAGGAGAGGTTCCCAGGGTCCCTCTCCCTCCCAAGTGGGAGATCTTTCTGTGTTGGTATGTTGCAATTGTTGAGGCAAGGCCTGTGCCAGACCCCTGCACCCCCTTTTCCTGTCCTGGGCGAGCTGAGTCAGCCTTTACATTTTTTTTAATTTTGACAAGTGAAGGCTCATCTTTCATTTCTCTCCTGAGTGAAGACCCCCTTGGCCAAGTGTACGCTCCCTTGTCCTCTTTAGTAAAGCACTGTGGTTTAACTGACATTTGCTCCATGTTTTTCACAGCAGTGACTCATTTTGGGGTGTAGGAGGAGAGCTCTTCCAGCTGCTCCTCCAGTCACCCCTCTCAGTTATGTCAGCAGTTTGTTGAGGCCCCTCAATTTGGGATGAAGGCCCACCTCACCCTCAGCCCTCCCAGCTGCCTGGGTTCAGAAAGCCAAAACCCAGGAAGCTTTTGGAGTTGTAAAATTTCCCAAAGAATCCTAATCTTAGTCCTCCAGTTATTACACGAGAGCAGGACTGATCTAGTAGAGCCCAGCCAAGGCAGACAGCTGGATTAAAACCTTCAGTGGGATGAGTTTATCTCACTCTAGAACCACCCCCAGCCTCTGACCTTCTACCACTCTGGTTTTTCTGATACTTTAAGCAATTTCTCCCAGAACTGAGCACTTATGAGGAAGCATCACCCAGGAGTGTAAGGATTCAATCAGCCCATTTCAGCAGCTTGAAATCACTGTCTTTTCAAATTACTTTCAAGACTAATTCATTTTCAAGATATTCATTCTCTTACATGTAAGGACTTATTTTTGTCTAAGCTAAAACTGAAGATTTAAGCATGCTAGGGAAATGTGAGAGTAATATTCTCAATGCAGAGTTGATTTATCCAGAATGACTGATACATATTTAACCTCCCAGCAGGCAATAATAATCACCCTATTTGTACAGTACAGCTTTAACAGTGTCCTCAGGACATGAATATTTAACACCTCATTTTCAGCCAAAGCTGACTGAAATGCAAAAAATTGAAAGATTAAATAATTTAAAATTCTTTTATGTAGAAAAATACTAAAACCAGCCAACAATTTCAGCTTTGCAGTTTCCATTTAATCAAGTCTGGCTCCTTAAATAAAGCTGACTCAAGCCTGGGATTGCTGTGGCACCTTGGGTTCTCCTGAGCCAGTGTATGGTGACATTGTTCTCTCTGCTGGGACACTGAGATTTGTCTCTGAACTGCCTATCTTTGTCTGGAATCACATTTCTTCATCTGACTCCGTGTCCCAGGCACAGGACTCCATGTGCTCATGCTGTGGGAAATCCACCTCAACATTGTAAACAAAGTCAGGGTCATCCCTCCTCTTCCTGTTCTTTTCGAAGAGCTCGTCCATGATGCTCTTCCTTTGGGCCAGTTCCTTGTCATCCAGTTTGTTCATGTCCTCCTCTGGGTCAATGGTGTATTCATGGTGATACCTTCCCAAGCTGTCAGACAGGCTCTGTCCTTCCAGATGATCTCTCAGCAGCCTGTGCAGCTTCTCCAGCTGGTGCAGCGAGACCCCTTCCAGGTAGGGCTTGTGCCGGGGGTTGTTCTTCATCTGCTCAGCAGCGCTGACGCAGTCTGGGGAGAGCCAACACAGCCTCCTGCAGCTCCAACAAACCTCTTCCCACTGACACCTCCTCCCAAACCCTCCCCAGGGCTGTCTCCAAACCCTGCAGGCTCAGAGAGCCATTGAGATGTGGGCTCCTCGGAGAGGCAACATTACCCCCGTTGCCACATTTCTCTTCACAGAGAAAAGCAAGGCACAATTCTTCTCAAAGATTTCTGAGATTCACATTCTCTGAACTTAACACAATTCTTGTCACTTGCTGGGCATGTGTTGTGCCAGAGTAGAAGGCAATATGGAAATTGTTTACTCAAAGTGAAGATGTTTTGTTCCCTTGGCCTCTCAGGGCCAAGAGTGTGTGTGTCTAGACTGTCATGGGACAGTCATGAGAGAATCAGAGATGAGTGCAGCTCTGTGCAGTGCAAGCAGTTGTGAGTGAGTGCACGGCAGATTCAGTGTAGATACAATGTACACAGTATAATACAATAAAGTCATTAATTAGCCTTCTGATGATGGAGTCAGATGCATCATTCTCTCTCCCTCACCAACATCAGAGTCGCCTCTGATTTACAACAACCCCAGCACAGCCCCTCCCTGCAGGCTGCTGGGAGGGCACTCAGTGTGCTGCTACCAATGGGCTCCTCTGCATGCAGGAAAAGAGTGAATTCATTCCTGCAGACAGGAAGGAATGCACACAGGAATGAATTTCCCTTACCTGAGTACCTGGAGAAATTCCTGATGGGCATGATGCGCTGGCGAGTCTTCTCCTGGACGTTGTCTCTGTAGATGAGGATGATGGAGGGGGGCTGGAAGCAGATCCCACATTTCTGTGCAGTGAAAGTCATCCTGGCACCATCAAAGTCCCCAGCAGCTCTCCCTGGGAAACAGGGAAACAGGGGGCAGAGTCTCTCAGTTGTGGTATTTTCTGGGGTCTCCCATGGCAAGAATGACATCCTGAATCTGACTCCATGTTCTCAGAAAGCTAATTTATTATTTTATGGTATTATATTGTATCAAAGAATGCCATACTAAAACTATGCTAAAGAATAGAGAAAGGATACTTACAGAACAAGATACTAATGAAAAACTCATTACTGCTTCCAGAGTTCTGACACAGCCTGACTGTGACTGGATATTAAGTAAAAACAATTCACATGTTGGATAAACAATCTCCAACTACATTACAAAGTAGCAAACCACAGGAGAAGCAAAGGAGATAATATTTTCCTTTTTCTCTGAGGCTTCTCAGCTTCCCAGGAGAGAAATCCTGGGCAAAGGGATTTTTCTAGAAAATATGGCAGTGACACTCAGTGCTGCTCTTTTTGTCAGGAGTTCAGCAAAATCACAGAACCCCAGAGTGGCTTGGGTCAGAATGGGCTTAAACCCCATTCTAATTTAATTATGAAATTAAATTAGAGGGGAATTAAAAATCCAAATGTGTTGCAGATCTGTTTCCCAGCTCAGTGAACAGCACTGAGTGCAGGTGTTACTTATATTTTGAATAAAATAAATTGGTTAAAACCCAATGTTTTTATTGGTTTAAATACTTTTATTGGTTTAAAACCAATGAAAAATTTGGTTTTAAATGAGTGAACATATGTCAAACATGAAGGTGATTTCCAAGCTGCAGTAAGGCAAAGTACCATATTTTACTCCCAAAAATCAACGTATTTCTCCACACTAAGAAAAATCGCATTAACGTTGAATAGCTGCTTTGAGGTAGAATTGGAAACACTTCTTCCTTCGTAAAAAATCACATAGGAAAGACTTTGAACATGCAGTAATGTCCTTAAAAATGGAAAATTTCCAGTGCCAGGCTGGTGGGGATTTGGAGGAACGTGGAGCATTGCCCATGGCAGAGCGTGGAACGAGAGGAGCTTTAAGGTCCCTCCAGCCCGAACCATTCCGGGATTCTGCGAGGATGAGAAGCACAAACGCGAGCAGCTCTTCGGATCTGCGGCAAAGGGCGTTTGGCTCTCCCGGTAACCGGGCTGGGCCCTTCCCTGCCGGTGTCACCGGTGCCTTCGGGGTGTGGGTCAGCGCTTGAGG